CATGTTTCACTGGAACAGCTTTTCTGTCATTTTGTTCTAGCCGCCCACTGCCTATATTTTCCCCAGTTCCTGCCCTGTTCCTGTAGCCCCAAAATGGGGGAATCTCATCCCTCATCCTGCCTCCCATTCTCTTGTTATGTGGTTCAGTGTGATCCTCACAGCGATCAGAGAAAACAGACATCATGGCTGACAGGCACAAACAGTCTGACACAGATACACACATGCGGACGAACATTCTCATTACTAAATAGTGCGTTAAGCCATTCATATTTATTTATATAGCAGGCACTTATATGTAAGGTGCCATACATTTTTGAGAAAGAGGGCCCAGTGGTGACATCACTCTGCTGACACTGGGATTAAAACTGGCAACCTTTCGATCACAGGCACAGTGTCCTAACCTACTGACCCTGGGATTTGAACCAGCAACTTTACTGTCACAGGCACAGTGTCCTAACCTGCTGACCCTGGGATTAAACCTGGCAACCTTCCTGTCACAGGAATGGCATCCAAACCCACTGAGCTACCCACTGCCCACTATGCCCCTGAATTATGATCATCATCCCCATCCTGCTGTAGGATGTGGAATTCAGCTGGATTCCACAGCTGCTATGTTATCTACCACATCGCGACGGTAACCCTTAAAGGATAAATTCAGTTAGTGACAGAGGAGACCACAGCGAAGCAGAGAGCCCCCAGGAACCCCGAATGGCTGAGAGTCCCACCACCCCACAGCTCCGAGGGCTGCCCGCCATGTGATTCTCACAGGACAGCTGCGGATGGAGGACGTGAGGCCCCCCACCGGTCCGGAACATCCACAGCACAAAGGAGCTTTGTGTGCAGGAGCAAAAACAGACGAGCCAGCGCAAATCACTGCTTCAGCACAGCGATGAAGGGACCGTCTGTACCATGACACTATAAGCAAACAGGATCACCACGACGCAGCTTCTTATAAACACGAGGTGGATGGGCAGGCTGAGATCCAGTCACTCAAACGGCTGCTTAGCCGGCAGTCAGCGATGCGGGGCACACGCCGGGCCTCCATTCTCTGAAAATGAAAACCCCATTGTCCTCCAAAGGCATGCAGTGGGACGTATCTGCGACGTACAAGCCCCATGAATTAACATACTTTTACATGCAATAATTCACTTCTTTATCCATTGGGCAATTGAAATGAAAATGTAACATTTCACTTCAGTGAATGCGCCTGTTGTTTTTACCCACTGTTGTTACTCTATTAGCTGAATCCAGCTATGCTTACAGATTTTATTGGCATTTAATGTCTCCTACGATCTGACCTCAAAGTTTGCAGCTGGGTATTGTTTTATGCATATTAGTGGTCTCGAGCGTACCCCCATCCCCCCTTCTGAATTACAGCTCTTTCCCGTCATGCTGACGTACATCAGGTCATGTCTGGCAAAAGTAAGATACCCACTACAGACACCAAAGAAAGACACACAAAGGAAGTGAAACGTCTCGTCAACATTTTGGGGGATGATTCATTGCATGGGGCATAAACCTTTCGCTCTTTGCCTATTCAGTGCTCTGCAATTTGTTTTTTTGTTTTTTTTTTAAACACCAGCTGCTTCTTCTTTTCTCAGAATAACATACTTTCAGACCAGGGCCTAGATTGCATCGCTTTTGCGCTCAATATGAATCCATGCACAACCTCTTGCAAGCATGATATGGATTGATTATGTTGTACAATTAGCTTTATATGTTGCCAGAAACAGAGACAGAGTGTGGGGAGCACTGTCAGACGACCTCTCAACCATCATGTAAAACTACCGTGAGAAGAAATGCCGCGTGGTAGACAGATCCTCTATAATTCACAAGAAGGAGCTAAATATATGTGCCAAGACCAACCCTGGTGGAGAAATGCTGTGGAGGAAATCGTGTGCGTTTTCTGAAAGTCATGTCGCAATACGCCTGAACATCGGCCTTCTAAAGTCTTTTGAGTTTGGTCATATTATTTCTTAAACGAAACCGACACCTGATTTCTAGAATCAAGAAGCCGTGATAGCGCCATCTGTAGATCTATTACCGAAATGCGTAATAGAGCTTCTAACGGTAACCTGCGCTATGCTTTTCTGTATCAGTGCAGCTACAGTATGCCCTGGACCCAGCTGTATTGTTCTACTCGGGTACAGTTAGGTCTGCCGACAAGATCAGTTTATGATTCTGCCTACTGACAGGTTCAGTGTTTCGATTAAACGGCCTCAAATCGGCTAATTGCAAACACGCTACTTTCATGCATGAGGTTTAGCTAGCAGTAGAGACATGCTTAGAAAATCACCGAGGGTGGCATTTCGATAATTTTCGATATACTAACTGCAATGCGTAACTGCTGGATGTATCGCTAATGGCTGCGCATTAAGAGGCATCTCTGTGTGTGGTCGCAAAGGATGGACTCTCCTCGTTTAGCGGATTGTAACCCACTTGGCGAGTGCAAATGCGGTTATGAAAATGGAGGACAGGAAGCACACTGAGCCCCTGATAGTCATACACCCCCCCCCCCCACCCCCACTGGCCTCATTTCCATTCAGATGACCCTTCGACAATGTCAGTAAGAGAGTAACTCACATATTTTTGAGGAAATACATTTTTCCAGAATTCCTGAGTATTATCCCAAGGAGCTGACACCAACAGTGTGGATGACGTGCAATGATATGAATATTTATGATAGCGAATAACTCACTGTGACTCCATCATGGAGCTGGAGCCTTGCGACTTCACAAATCTCGTCAACGGCGAAGAGGGAGTAGCCAGGCCAAGACGATGGTCAATAGTCACAATATTTTGAAATACAGGCCGTGCAGTTGCACGGAAACACTGAAAGCCGGCTGATGGCACTGGTAAGGCTTTTTGAGGTGCTTCAGGAAACATGTTCCTTTGTATCCTTGACCGTGAATGATGGGCACTATGAGAAAATCACATATGATCGCGGACTCTGCAAACTCTGGGGGACAACACATGTAATTGTGGACTCGGTGAACTCGGACGACACGTTAAATCCTGGACTCAGCAAACTGGGCTTTGTACCAGATTCCCATACTGGTCCTCAGTCAATCTTGGTAATTGTAGTATCTAGTGTTTCTTGTCTTCTACTCCAGACCACCTGATTTAGCTAATTAACCACTCATTGAACCCATGAGTAGCCAAATTAGGCACGTCACTGAGAGAGAAAGGGATACATGGAATTGCCAGTGTCCCCAGGAGAAACCTGGACACCATGGGCTATTTCAGTACATCATATTTAATTAAGGGCAAGACCTACTGGCCCAGAGGGCAAAGTGAGTGCTAATGTAATTCTTCTGATCTACTAATTCCCATCATTCACTTAGCTTTTCCTTCAGAATTAGTTGCGAGTCCTATGTAAAGCCACTTTTTACCAGCCATGAGGAAACACATTGTTTTGGACTGACGGAGGCAGGAAGACAGCAGAGATGCAGTATTTTTGGGCTTCCTGGCCAATTCTACTAGCAGGATACAGGACACCAATAGACATCCAGGTGAGAGGGGGGCATGCGTGCAGAAACGGCAGGGTTAGGGTTAGGGTTAGGGTTAGGATGTGAGCCGGGCGGCCATGAGGATGTGAAAGGGCGAGAGGGATAACTAATCCAGAGCTTGTCAATGGGGGGTCTTATCTCTGACCTGTGACTTACCTGCTAACACTCAGCCCCCCACCCACATATGACAGGCCAGAGGGGAGGGCAGTATTATGGGGGATTCCTTACAGCAGGGGCAGAACCACAGAGGCACAACAGAACAGAGTGACGTGAAGCTAATAAAAGTACAGGAAATTGACTCATCTCCAAAAGAACTTTCCAGACTGTCAACTACTCAGTGACAGATGTCTGTTTACCTCAGGGTGCTGAATATGGCTGACATATCCTTCTCATCGTATCATAACGCCCTCAGAAAATTGGCAATCACATACTGGTTACTCAATCACACCTGCTGATGCCCTCTAGGGAAGTAACACGGTGTAAGTGCAGCATTACTCAAGCATGCCATGCTAGCCATACCGCCATGTTTAGTAAGAATGAGAACTGTCCTTAAGGAACATTCAGCTGTGAGGTTAACCATCAATACCAGCATGCAGAGAAAGGGGCAATCATTCTAATAAAGTTTTCGCTCTCAGTGCGACCTGTGCAGTCCATTATCCGCATGTAAACAAAACCGCCATCGTGAGCATTTAGTCATTGACTCCCACAGGCGGGGGGCATCTCTTGTTTTTTTGTCCTCTCGCTTCCCCCCCCCCCAGTTAAAAAGGGAGGGGGGAGCACCATCTGTCAGTGACCCCCTCATCAATGGAGCGAGAGCTCACTGTGTCACTGGCCAGTCTCTGAAGCCAATTCTGCTAACCCTGGTTTATTTGCAGGCCTCCTATTTGTGGGTGAGAGCATTGGGTGCCCATCGGAGGAAGGGTCCAGGTCCAGGCTTCTCCCGGTGCCGCTATCGTGCCACAGACCACCGGGGAGCCTTATTGACATTTCTGTGTTCAGCCAGCAATGCCAATGCCATGATTGCTGTGTTCAGCCATGATTAGCCAAATTAGCCTCGGCTGCACTTAGCACAACGTTATCATGCAGACACGCTCGGCGACATCTGTTAGCTATGCGTACCGCTACTCCTCTGCTCTCCTGCAATCACAACTGAAACACACAAAGCTCACTGAGGAGCGTCTATCTACTGATGGAAGGCGGCTGAGGTTCTGAGTTTAAAGGCATACCGTGTTATTAGTGCCAGGAAATGGGTTAGGAACAGATGGCATTATTTCCAGACCAGTCATGTCAACTGCAAACCTCACAATGAAGGTCCCCAGCGAATGTCATAGGAACGGGAATTAAGATGACTGCAGGGCTGGACAGAGGCAATGAAGAAGCGGGGGGGTGGGGGTTGGGGGGCTCAGTTTTCCGGCTGGTAAGCTGGCAGCAGTAGCAAGAAGCATTGGGCAGCATGAAGAAGGTGACTGGCAATGGTTAGCCAGTACTTACCCAACATCTGACTGAAGAGCAACTGCTCCAGGTCTCCCAGCACAGTAACCACCAGCTCGGGGTCCACCTTGAGGTAGGGCTTGCCTTCCCCATCCACCCCCTGTCCCTTGCCCATGGGGCCAGGCGGGTCTGTGAGCTTTTTGGTATTGGCATTAGCGTTAGCCTTGCTGGAGAGGATCTCGTCGTCCGACTTGCTGTCCTCCACCGGCTCAGGCGCCTTGCTGATAGGCTTGACCTCGGCGTAGGGCCCCCTGGGTATCCGGCTGGGCTTGCCCAACGTGGTAGGGGCAGCCAGGGGGCTGAACGGCTTGGGCTTGCCCTGGAAGAGGGAGTGCTCCGACTTTGAGAGGCTGCGGGACAGCGGACTGGCGCCCACGCTGCCACCCAACCCCGCCTCCTTGGGCTTGCCCGCCTTGAGGTGCGCGCTGGCCGGCTTGCTCATGTCATCGCACCACTTGGGCTCGCTGAGCTGCATCTTCTTCTCGGCGTCGGTAAGCACACACAGGTTCGTGAGCGACTTCTGTTTGCGGAGGCCAGCGGGGACAGGTGGGCGACCCTCAGGGTTGCCCCCACGATACACCCGCAGCTCGCTTCGGGGGGTCGCTGCCGGGATCCCCGTCTTGCCCCGTCTGGCGGCCATGCTGCCCGGCGTCCTCTTGCTCTCCGCCTGGCCGTAGGTCTCGCTGCTCCCCTCCCGCTCTGCCTCAAGTGCTACCTCTCTGCCTTTCAGACTAGCCCCAAGCATCCCTCCTGCGTGGGACCATTTGACAGCATCAGCAGAGCAGGCAGAAAGAAGCCAGAAAGAAGAAAACAATCCAATGACCCCTGGGGCTCCCCTCTCGCCGGGCCCCTCACCCCACAGAGCAACCCCTAGGGCTGCCTGATGTGCGGGAGGAGCAGCAGTCCACTGAGGTCACGCTAATCCACGGGCCCTGTTTGCGTGTGAAATCCCCACGCTCCCTATTCAGTCAGGCTGCTGCTGCAGCAGCTGCTTCTGGGCTGCCCAGCCTCTGCCTTTTCTCCCTCTCTCTCTGCCTCTCTCTCTCTCTCTCTCTCTCTCTCTCTCTCTCGCTCTCTCATTCGTCCTCCCTGTGTCTCTCCTCCCTCCACCAGCACCTCCCGCTGTTGAATCGCGCGGCGGCCGAATGACAGCAGAGGCAGGACGTAGCTGTGGTCCCACCCCCTTCTCACCCCCCTCCCTGCTTCCCCTCTCATTTATAGATGCTTCGCTGTGCCTCGGTACGAAGTGTGAAACCTAAGGGGCCGGCAATAAATTATCAGCCCCTTTACAAAAGTGTATCGCCACCCAAGTAGCGTCCTTTTCTCCCTTCCTGCCCTCCTCATTTGTTCCCACCTCAAGTGCCCCTCATATTGACGTAGCCCACAATTATGCACCACTGGTTTCCCCACATAGAAAATGTATCCAGTGCTATAACAGGTACTAGAAGAGCTTAAGTGTAACTTGAGCATTGATTGCTAATACTATGACCGAACAAAGCAACCCTCAGCTTTTCAGACAATACATGGATTTCTGAACTTGTTTTCGGTGAATCAGATAACAGAACAATCCTTGTCGAGCTGCATTTACCTCCACACTTCCTCTCCCTGTCATAACTGCCCGAAATGGTGCTGGCTGACAGAAATGACTGGCGGCGTAAACATCTAACTATGCTGCACCCTCGAGTAAATTAAGCCCCAGCTAAATTCCCTGAGGTGGGGGCAGGGAGGACCCCCCCCACCACAATACCGCCTGTCATGTACAACGTCGGATTGATATGGCGGCCACAGAAACGGCCCCTCAGCTTTGCGTGGGGCTCCCTCACTGGGGAGTCCATGCGGAAGGACGAACAAGTCACACAAACCCTCGCAGACAGGTTTTAAAATGGCCTTCATGTCAAAACTTGAGCATCTGGATCAGACTGTAAAAAATGAACACCTTTTAATTTATGCTTCTTAGTTTACTCTGTGTATCTATTCAAAAACTCTTTCCATGGACATCATGTATGGAACACGAACTTGTATCCATATCTCCGTCATATCTGGGTAAAAGCTAACAGGATTATTAATATCAACAGGAAATGTGCAAAAAGGAATAAAGAAGTGGGAAGCCTGATGATCTGAAGTTTCTGGCGGCAAGGTGTTGCTTATTATCACAACGATGTGTGGCTCGTTTGCCTTCTTGACTGGTCATGTTATCGGGCATTTAGATTACATTTGCTGGGTGGTCTGAGTTGTGTAGTCTGAATGTAACAAAAAAACAGCTGTTAAAACGGGGCCAGTTGTTACCAATATTATTATTTTCACCCACACTCAAACATTAAGAAGAATTTAAAGAACTGAAATTCTCTGAAACATGAACTGACATGTTTTAAATCATGTCAGACAAGAAATAGCTTCGTGGATTTTGGACCCTTCAGTCTATCAGATCTTCTCATGGGGGCAACAGTCTTAAATTGCACTGCTACGACAGGGGCAAATTAATTTAGTAGCTGTTATTGCTCCTGCCTACATTCAATCAATGACTTCTGATTGGGATTCATAGGTGAATCCATGGTCCACATATTCTATTCTCTGTAGAGGAGAGCATGAGGTCTTCATGGAATACAAACATTGTGTGCCTGTACCATTCCCTGAGCGGAATTAGGGGAGTCTTGAGTACGGCTACATCCAGACTGGGATTTGTGTACTACTGCAGTAAAAGCAGGCAAAGGACATTACTGCCATGGAAGTGTGAAAAAAACAATGTCAGCTGTGTCTTTATTCAGTGTACAGACGTTACAACCAGTATTCAAAAGGCAGGGGAATTTAAATATGTACATATACATATAACCAAGACACACTCAACAAGACCTCGGATATGCAAAACATGCCAGATTTCAACTGGGCACAGCTCTGTTAAAAATGCAAACATGAAACGATGCTGTGTTTTCAGTATCAGATCATCGTTTAACGTTTTTTGGCATGGCTTATTTTCATTTTCATGTGAGATCTTAAATCCTGAAGGCTTCTTCCATCACTGGATTGGAGCGCTGCAGGTCTAGCAGAGTGGACATAATCAGTACCGGCGTCTGACCCAGTGGTATTACCAATGGCATCCTGGGCTAAGCATTTAGGTATTATGGGTGGGCACCAGTGTTCAGTCTACTGGGGAGGCAGACGACCCGTAAAGATGCCCCTGGCATGGCCGCACTGCCAATGACCTACTTCATTCACCACAGGGACCATTCAAAGACTCGCCAACCAGGCTCACCTCAAAGTCTGTCACACATGCCATTCAGAGACGGGGGATCCCACTAGATTTTGCTGAGTTCCCCCAAAGACTTTCACTGACCGGGGGGGTGGTTCGTCTAGCGAGGAGGGGGTCCCAATTGATCACAGGATTAAATCGTATTTTAGTCCGCCAATTCGGTTTCCCTGTTCCACAGCATCCCAGGGTCACAGGGGTTAAAGTTCTCAGCCGGATACTTACAGCAATTAGCCGCTATGTTTATTCACTAGCGTCACCCGTATGATTCTGGAGGGATTTGGGTGCCGTGTTGGAGTCCACAGGCTGGCCTTTCCACACAGAAATGACTTTCATAAACCTCAACAGTGACCTGCCTGTCCAGTTCACCTAGGCACAGAGCTTGCGGGGGTTTGAACACAACTCCCTGTTTACCTCCACTGTTTACACCTCTGAAAGCCGTTGAAAGTACCGACCGCAAATCGCATTCATCTCCCTGCAAGACTCACAGGCTGGATGGGTCCCCTCAGCTCGTAAAAACCACATCAAGTCAAGTTCAGGCTAATCATTTCTTTGGGGCATTTTAACAGAAATGACATGTCTTTTTGAAAGTCACGAGACAGGCCATTTCTCAGGCAACATTTTCACGTCCTCAGAAACCTAAATCCAATCTATTTCATGTGCAGTGCTTCAGGAGTTTGTTCCGTTCACAAGGTTGAGCCGTGCAGCAGTCAGTCATATCGAGCGAGAGAGTGACTAATTCTGCACCAGCGTCACACCCTCTGACCACAGGTCACCCAGAAGGATCAGCACAAAAGAGGGGGGAAGCTGTGTTTTCCCGAGAAGGATATCCTGTACGCTGTACGTTCTCCCAGAACCTTCCACAACTCCGTTCGGACCACAATGGGAGTTTCTGTGGACTGGATTTAGAGACTGGATTTCCTGCTCCCTGTCCGTAACTATGTGACACGCTAATGCGGGCCAGGTCAGTAAGCGCTGGTTCACACATCACGTGGTCCTCCGTTGAAATCTTTCAGAAGGGATCCAGCCTTCTCCTCTGTATGATGATCAGCGTTTCATCACACCTTCATTAGGGACAAGAAAACTCATCTGCAGCTTGACTGGACTGAAAAATGAGCCTGAAGGCTCATAAGTCAAACACATAAACACCGCTTGGCTGAGTCTGGAACAGTCATTCCCAGGCCGTTCGCAAAACACTTCCCGACAAATATTTACAGAGTTTGCCGCATTCCTCCAGAGAAGCACCCTCAGCCGTACTGAGCAATCAAGCCCTTGTGAGAGTATCTGGTCTGAACACGTTTCTTTGCAACTCATTGATTGGAAAAACCTGTTCTTTTGCCCGTGAGCAGTATGTATGCCGCAACGTAACTAAGGGCCTCGCTCCTGACTTTTATGATGACTTCCACCTCGTCCAAACAGGCTGCAGTTTTTATGCAACCGGATTTATGCAACCAGAAACATGCTTGGTGATGACTTTTACTAAGTGTATTCTGACCATGTTTGTCAGGCAGGCGTTCTCAGTTTATCAGCACCCCTCCCCCCCAGCATGTCACAATTCTCTCACCCCCCCCAACCCCCCCCCCCCAAAAAACCAACGGCAGTTAATATTGTTCTTGATGTGTAAACAAAGAACCTCTGCTCTGAAAGTAAGAAACACTGCAATATTGCAGAGCTCCTCCTTGGCGCTTCTTTTTAATACTTATAAATAAAGCTGCATTTAAGCTCTAAATGTCCAGACAAACCTCGCTCTAGCTTAGCTGACCCCTTCCCACCCGGGAGATTTATGCTCGTCTTTGGCTCAGTGGGTTCCAAATAAAAGATCTGAATATAGACGGCAGTGCTCCAGATGGCTGTGTTACAGTACGTCTTATTTCCAGCCTCCGGAGTCACACCTATTTTCACAGAGATGGCCTCTGTGGAAGCAGAGTGGCTGTAAATCGGTGAAGATCTCCCCAGCTTCTGAAAAAGAGAGGCTGGACCATCCTTTGGGAGCCGGTACAGCATTCAGGAAGGGAACAAGTTGTGCTAGAAGCAAGGATGGGCTAAGGGTCATAGCCACCACCGTGTAGCTAGGTAGCTAAATGATATTGCCACAAAGAGTAGGGCGTTTACAGTGTGAAGTAGATTAGCTTTAATCTGGGTGAGAGCAGCATTATGTTTACCGCAGTAGCCTCAGTTTACAGAATGAGTAGCCGTGAAAATGACGGACCTCCTCTGGCTTGTAAACGTGCGGTTTCACTCTTTCCAGACGGCCCCTTAGCCCAGCATCACTCTTATGCGATATGCCTCATACACACACCTCCCAGGAGTTTCCCAGAATGCTCTGCTGCCACAGTGCTCTCCATGGAAACGGCACGGTGCGCCAGACACTCATCCTGTCCCTATCACCCAAGCAACAGGCAACATCATGTGACATTTGCCATGTTTTTACTCTAGAACATCTGCCGTGTGTGTTTGATAGTATACAGTGAGGCCACACTTGGGGTTGATTAAAATACTTTCTTAC